TGACTATCTACAGGGTTCCTTCAAATTGTTAATGACTTTGTGGACTGCTACCATGTTTTTGAAGTCAGAAGTGTTTACTGTACATTCATAGTACCATACATCAAATGAGTCTGAAAATAGGACAAAATACCTATGAATTATCGTTTCGAAAAATATCCTTTTAAAATACATTTATCATCATTATAATTAGGATAATGGTACATAAACCCATTTCTTTGTTTTCTAATCTAAAGTAATAAGAGGTTACCTTTTTATTATATAAACATTTTATTTGTCCTTCACCTATACACATTTACAATTATTACAAAACAATTCACATATATACATAACAAAATTAAGGTCATTTACCGAATGAACATGTTTGGTTGCTTGCTTTCTTATATGAAAAAGAAAAACTGTAGTAAAATTATATTCACTTAGTATTGTTTGTTTGAATATTCCCATTGATGTTTAGGACTGCAATTGATCAGTCTCTTATGTACATACTGCGCGTATTGCATCGATTTAGCCTTAATTCACAAGTATTACAAGCAAGTAGTAAAATTGAAAAAGAAATAAGTATTCATGCTCTAACTATCCATAACTGTTCTTTTTTTTCATCTGAACGTTTAATTTGTGATACATTTAATTTTAAAACTACTAAAGTCTACAGTAACCTTTACAAATAATAAAAAAATTATAATAGTAACTGACCTAATGTATAAAACAAATCGTCTACCAATAAATATTAATGTAAGTAAAGATACAGGTACATCCAGCTGACGAGTCCCAAATAGGACGAAACGGGTGTGCAGGATTCCCCTGCTAGCCACTATCTATCTTTGCATATAAATATTGTTGTTGTTTTTTGAAATTTTTTTTATGTAAATTAAGTCTAAATAGTTATTATGACATGTGAGTTTTATACCACTGATGCTGATTAAATACTGAAACCATATAAGGAAGAATAAACAGACTTATAACAATATATATGTATGAATATATTATATTTCTTCAGTTAATTACAAGTTGAATTAAGTTAAACAAATCGATAAGACGAACAATTAATAGAAATAAATTATGAATGGATCAATTTTAGACCACCATTGAAAACCTGGGAGTATTGAGCGGCCATTTTGTCCTAGTATGAGATGCCTCAGCATTGCGCATCCATGGAGGAACTGAGTAGCCCCAGACTAGGACTAAATGGCCATCCAAGGCCACCAGCTTTTTAATGGCCGTCTAACAATGATCAGTTTATGATTTCAGTAAAATTAAATGATCTCCACAACCCGATACTGATATATATATATATGAGCTCAAAAACATTCTCTCTCCCTTATTTTTATTCGACATTTACCGAGTGAACTCAGGAATATCGCTGCTGTGTTAGATGTGAATCGATCTCATGTTCTGTCAAATCTCTCGGTCAGACAGTAACCATCTTTATTATTGCTTTGCAATGGCAGTGTCATTGTTGTTTGAAAGAGGAAAAATTGTTGAAATTCCATCCCATGCAACTTCAGCAAATAGAGTGAGGGGACTTTTGTAGGAATTTCTTTAATTTCAAACTTGAAGAATGAATAGGGGGTGTCTGGTTTATTTCTAAGTGATCTGAACCTCCCTGAAAACCAAGAAGAATAAATGTGGCACTAAGTCGCAAGCTCAATGACCATCCTTACTCATTTACAGTTCAATGTTAATTTTGGATCTTGTCTAAGGAGTTAGTCCCAAAGTCCTTATATCTGTAAATATAAGAGATAGTAAACTTCGAATATGATTTATTAACTTGAATTGATCTTTTGTTGGAGATTTGGCCTTAAATTGTTCATGTACTGTATTTATAAAACCAAAAGGGGTCAGGAAATTGTCACTCTTATTTATCATTAACTTTATCTTATGTCACCGAGTATTAGGTAGTGACGAGCTACCCTAAATTGTTGACTGAAAGACTGATATTCCTCATTGAACGCTCTACGATGTGGGTTTTGAGGCAATACGAGGTTGGAGTAGTTGTCTAGTTCTGCTGAACTATGTTCCTCAGGTAATGGACGAACATTCCAAACGTTGTTTCAAGGAGCCAAGTAAACTTTAGAGAGGTCTTCGTGTCTCCGCAGTCATATGTTAAAAGTTCCATTGGCTTCAAAAACACATATAAGTTCAACCAAATTGTAGGCGCTAATTTCAGGCAGAGATGAATGTTGGCTAGCAGTTGAATCCAGGCTACGCGTTTAATTCTATTTAGGGCTTATAACCTGGCTGAACATGGACTTCAGTGTTGATTTTCACTCCTGGACTTGAACGCATTATCTTTCGTTTAAACCTCAATTCTTCATACGCTCGTCTAATGAGTCCAGATAGCCACTAACTTGTGCAACGGGAATGAATTGTAATTCAGTTGTATGGCTTCGAACCTTCCCGTTGCTGGTGTTAAAGGCTACAGTTATTCAGTCTTTTTTGGGATTCATGTACCCTGATCGAATTATTGATGAAGTGTTGGGGTTTGAAGCTAAAGGCACTGCTTTTGAGTCCAGAAGTGAACTTCAACACTGAGATGCAAGTGCATCCAGATGACGAGTACCGAATAGGATGAAATGCGTGTCCTGATTGCTGTTAATACCCACTATCCATCTCTACATAAAAAGGCTTGTGACTGATAATAATATCTAGGCAATCAGTATAGGATTCAAACATCTCAAAAGAGATCGGTTAGTTGCAGTCCTTAGCACTAACAACGAGGAGATTCGTTTCCTTACAAATGAACTGCGGACAGTATTTTCTATTGATTGTGCCTCACTCAAAATAAGAACAGAGGATGTTGTTTAGAATATCATCTTGAAATTGATAAACGTTTGCATTAATTCAAGTTGTTGCTCTGACAGTTATAACTCCCAACTACTTTTCGATACCAGGATACTACTTGTATATTTTTACCCATTCCCAGCAACTTCAAAACTCAAATCTTGTATAGAAGATCTAATCAACAGAGACCAGGAAAGAATAATTCACGTTTAAATTTATTCGCTTATATACCGATTATGTTCAGTGATTATCAGTTATAAACTATCAAACTAAGGGATTATAATGTGTCACATTGAATTGATCAATATAATTAAATTTCACTGAAAGTCAGATACATAGGAATTACACTAGATGCATTGACTCAAATAAGTGACCTTTCAGGTATATTCTGGTGTCCTTGAGAAACTCTAACCACTTAATAGGTTCAAAATAGTTTTATGAATCACAGTAAGAAATAGTATCATAAGACAGGTTTAAAAGTTAGGATAAGGACTTGGAGCTAGTGTTTCCATTGTTAACTGACACCAGTCACAATGCCAGAATTTATCTCGTCGTACAGGAAAGTGAATTCCACACAAAAATCCATAAGGCGATATCTTAAATCTCATTGCTCCGTCCACAAATTATAGTCTTGACAAAACCAACTGAACAAAGATAACCTTAAGTCAAGATATGAATAATATTTCTTTTCGATACTTTTGTTTCCCGCATTCAATGTCTCAGTCAAAATTATACAATTTTAAATGTTCTGTGACTATTTTTATCCCATTTAATAATCATGTGATCAATTCACTTTGTATCTAACTTACAATCGTCTCTCAGAGTTATTTTGGTTCACCGACTTATCTTTGTCATAATCTTCGGTAAACTGAATTCAGTTGAAATGTCTTCTTTTACAAAAGAAAAGAAAATTGGCACTATTTTTAAATGTTCAACGACTTTTGCACATAAAATATTGAATTAATTAGATCTTTTCTTTCCTTACAGGTGGTAATTAATTTGACTTTAATATCCCATATGATTTTGTCCATTTTTTAATTATTAATAACCAATGGATTTAACTATTACATTCTTGGCTACTTCAATTGTGTGAACGATAACTTATTTACTATTTAACTGTGTTTCTTTTTTACTTTTTCAACTATTTTCTTTGTATAAAGTGAAGGACAATCTCGGTAGATTTTAATAATTTAAAAATTATGCAAAATATGCATGTATGTATGTAGATATATAGTTATATGTACCGATATTTGTACGAATCGGTACGAACCGACAGATAAACACACATAAACCGTCGGCGCAGTATCTAAGACAAAAATAAATATAAGAAAGAACAAAGTGAAGTTAAGACCGCCTGTATGCATGTATATATAAGAGTGCGCAAGCATGCGGCCGCGTAATCTATTCGATATATATTAAGAAAATTCATAATTATCTTCAATTTTCTTGCTATTATTAATTTTGACATGGTAAAAAGTGATTTATAATATTCTGTGCTAAGTTCTTTTTTTTCAAAGAAAAAGTGAGTAATAAACAGAAGTCATTTATGCATAAGTACATGGATGACTATACTAATCATATATATATATATATATATATATACATATACATATATATATATATATATAATGTCTATTTATATACTATAAAGTATGTATACAGGTTGTCCAAATGAAATAGTATGCGTTTGACTTTTGTTATCTCGTTATAATTGTTATTATTATTATTATTATTACCGTCGATGCTGATGTCGTTTTCCAAGTTAACTAAAAGAATATAGAATATAAAACAATACAAAATTTTGTTCAGACATTTTTAATTCAAGATGAAATCATGTTTAGAATAATCATCATAACAGTAGTAACAATAGTGGTGATAATAGTAGTAGTAGAAGAAGAAGAAAAAGAAAAAGAAATCACTAACCTTGCTAGTCATACTCTTTTCTCTTTCTTTACAAAGCAAGAAAATATAGGCCTTTATTTGTTCAGTTTAGTTTATGTCTTCGGATAAAAGAGAACTAGTTCCTTTTTTTTTAAAAAAAAGGAACACTGTTCGAAAATAGTTTACAGTTGAAAGTAGAAAGAAAGTACACAGTTGCTGTGATAGGTATTGTAATTTACATACATACATACATATAGTTTATATATATATATATATATATATATATATATATATATATATATTGTCAGTAGAATGTATAAACTGATACGTACACTTACTTAATACTTTCTTTTCTCCATCTTACAATGATCAAAGCATTATATATGATGATGCCGCATTACTGAAGGGAAAATTCTCATTATATTACGCTGCATTATTTTTCTAACATTTGAATTATAACAACTGGATTGGAACCGTTAGTGGTACTGTTCTTCACTTTGATATTATTATTATAATTATTGGTGTCCGTGTATTATTGATAACAGATAAAATTGAGGAAAAGAAAAATAGAATGAAAAATATGGAGATGAATTTCAGACTAATCGACTTTATTAAATTTGATAATACCATAAAAGCATTAAATGACTAAAACGAATAATATATAATTAAAAACCCTAACACCCAATGCATATACACTTTTCATGTTTATTTGATAGAAATCATTTTGCACTTTTTTTCTCCCTATTCATATATACTTCAAATATATGCACACTTTACATACATTAAAAAAAAGTTGTGGGTGAGCAGATCAACAGAAACTGAGAAAAGACGATGAACGTGGACTACTGAAATCCAAAAAAATAGTAGTAAATAAGTATTATTATTGTTTTTGAATAGATCATCATTGTTTACGCATGCACAAAAATATGTGCATTATTGTGTGTAGGTATCAATAATCAAGGGCAAAAGAAAGCAAGCTAATATGAACACAAAGGTGTATACAGGCAGATATATATATTTTTTCCAGTTATTTCTATATATACATGTAAGTATGTATGGATAAATCAACCGAATACATTTAGTCATATTGTTATACAGTTGTTTATCAAATAAATAATGTGGTTATCTTTTTTCGCAATTACTTGATAAGTTTCTTTTAATTTATCATAGTTTACTTCATTTTTTGAAGATCAACTGAAAATTGGTAGGTTAATTAATTGGGTTACGAAATCCTAATCATCTTGTCTAGTTTTTATCTGTAATGGTTCACGATCTCATTTAATACGATGTCATGGATCAAACTTTCTAATCAATATTAAACTTTTACGAAATAGTTGTCTATTGTTATTTTAGTTTACTGTTTTGTTTTTCTTTTGGATTCAATAATTATTGAGTTTATTGATCTTAGGGCTCAATATTTTTTTACCTGATTCTAACAAAGAACAGAGGGTATTTTGATACTGTATCAGCTTTTCACATAGCTACACCCATTAAATAATATCAGTTTGTTTTTGAAATTAATGTTCAAAATATCTGAATATTTGTTAATTTTGAAGAGAAAATGCATAATAAATCTTATTACTACGTCAACTGTTATAATGTAGTGAACAGAACGCGGATGGGAACAATTGAATGTATTTAAGGACAAATTACAGTCTATCTCATTGAATTCTGATAACCATACAATGAACAGTTAATTTGCAAAATAACAATCAATTGTCTCAATCTTCACTGTTCCTTCTGTAAATATCAGTTTATGTTCTTTAATTTCATTTTTCATGCGTTTTCTTACCAATTGCGCTTCATTTCAGATCATTCCTTATCGGTCTTCTGACAAAATACATTCTATGTCTGACCATCACCATATACTACTTATGTGGATATAAGTAGACAACACTACAATAATACGAAAAAAAAGTTTCGTATTAAGTCACTTGAGTTATATCTTTTACACACAAATTCGCGAAAAAAAGTTTTTTTAATTACGAGAGAAATAAACACAAATATTCTACGTTGAACGTTGATGACGATTGTTATTTAAAGTAAACAACATGGGAAAGATTAAGAATCCACAGTCAATAGTTTGCAACTGACTATTATGAAACTCTTAGTTATACTCGAATCTATTATTAATATTGAAATAATCTTAGTTTGATGAACTGAATTCAGTTTCTTTTATTAGATCTACATCCCTATTACACTTATCTTGAGCTATGATATTATTGTATCATATAATCATTACTCTAGTGATTAGAGTGAACTACGAATATCTACTTTTAGTTAGATTGTCGTTCTGGTGTTTATAATCTAAAGTTTTCAAACAAAACAAACCACTTGAAATATATCAATGAAAGTTAGCTTCATAAATAATATTATCTATAGTAGGAGTATATACCTATTAATTACAAAAAATTACGAAAATAACACTTTACTAACAGTTTAAAATTTGCTAAACGAATGTTAACTATTGAGTAATTTTAAAGAATAGATCAACTATTTGATATTATGTTGAATAGGTGTGTCAGAAACTGATCTTGCATTCAGAATAACATGATGAGAATGACTTTCAAAAACGAAACCAATACTATTTCTTAAATTTTTAATTTAATAGAGAGTTTCACTTTAGGGGTACCTAGCCTGTCGTATGTCCTGATAGTCTTCTCGTGATTTTTGGGTTGCCTGATCTACCAAGGGCGATGGGACAGTGCATGACAGTATTGTTGTGTGTTAGGTTCAAAGAGAATTGTTTGCTATATGCATGCTAATCCACCCTGTTATTGTTTCTATTGTTCCTAAATGTATGTGATCCAAGTTTTATATTTGGATGCACTAATACTGCGTTTCTTTCAATAAAAAAGAAAGAGTTAATAAGAACCAAAACAAATATAAATGAGTTCTTTGTTATAATACAATATTTATCTGATTATAAGCAACGTTAAAAAATACAATTAGAAAATATAATGTTAACATTAATTAACAAACAGAATGTTTCATTTATATGGACCACCATTAACTTTTTCAAAAAAGATAGTATATATATATATATATATATATATATATATATATATATATATATTAGTTGTTAAGAAAACTGATTGTTTAGTCAGATATAATTCACTTCTTTCAATTCATTTTTTTTCTTTTTTATACAATAACTTCAGTTCAATCAGTACCCCACGTGGAAACCAGATTGTTTTTTGAAACTAAGTTCCTTTTATAATATCAATTAACTAATGATAAATTGATTCGGAAACTTAATTTTTATAACATAAATTTATTCCTTTTATCAGATATAGAAATGGGTTAACTATATTTTCTGTAGTTAAAGTTTGACATACCAGTATTAAGCTACATATACATATTCATTCATTCAATTATTTACTTTAGTGAATGCAACACCTTCAATAACATACCATTAATTGTATACAAATAGAATTCTATATCACTATTCATACAATTATTTACTTCATAGAAACCACAGAAACCATCTATATTAGATTTACCGTATACTTGAAAGTGTTAAAATGAATTATAAACTTATGTATATATCTTTATGCATTTATCATCGGACAAAGATGGTATGTTTTATTTTATCCTGTACTTTCAGTGTTTATCATTTAATCTGCTTTTAATTCATTTGTTATTGTTCTCTTTCAGTTGATAATGTTTTCTTAAGGGATGGAAAAGGGTTTTGAAATAATGTTAATCGGATAGGTATTATTTAAAAATTAGTCTAAATGATACAAATTAGCATATTAATGAAAAACAGAAGGGTATGATAAAGCATACACTTATTGTTTATGGATACACTTAGTGTTTGACGATTTGTCTTTTGAAATATAGTGACTTATTTTTGTTGTTGTTTTATCTCCGACATAAGATAACAATTCATCGTAATGGTAATTAGTCAATGTACAAGTTACTTATTTAGGGTTAGAAACAACATAATATGAAAAAGCACATTGTTTTAACTTAATTATTAATGAAATATATATTTGTAAAATTTATGTATCTAAAAAAAAGTCTTGTGTGGTAAAACAGTGTAAATTGTATGATACTAGATCAATTTTATGATTGTTAGTATGATGAATTTATTCACTAGAATGAAAGGTATGTTGAAATTCTTCAAATGAAAAATAGTTTATATCATGAAGTTGCTTTAACTAGATCACAATGTGGGCACTTGAATACCGTACAGCTGCTATATGCTGAAATTAGATCTTCTATCTTAATAATAATGACAGTAATAATAATTAAGTCACAAGACAAGTCCTCACATGGAATCCTGAAGGCCAAAGGAGAAGGGGAAGACCAAAGAACACATTACGCCGAGAAATGGAGACAGACATCAGAAGAATGAACAAAAGTTGGATAGAACTAGAAAGGAAGGCCCAGGACAGAGTGGGTTGGAGAATACTGGTCGGCGGCCTATGCTATTTTGGGAGTAACAGGTGTAAGTAAGTAATAATAATAATAATAATGGAGTATTTACTTGTTGCCAAACTGGAAAAGAATTCTAAACGTTCTAATAAGAATCCGAGAGAGTTGATATTTAGCTATTACCAGAATAAGATAAACATAATCTACTGATACGGATGGTGGAAATATAAACCAATTCACTGCATAACTAAAAGCTCCTGGAGTAGATTAGTGGAAGGAGCTTCAAGTACACACTACTAAGGAGTCTTATACTTTGGTACAGTATTTATTCACTACTGTCTAGGTTTAAATTGTTTTTTTGTTGTTTAAAATTGGTCTGTCTTGTAAAAAAAAACAGAAGATATAATAACAATATTCAGTTTACTGTTTTATTGACCAAATGACAGTTAATGTTGTGAATACACTTGGATCGTAATAAACATCTTAAAGGTAGTCATTGTAGTCGAACAAAAATATAGTGTTAACTGACAAGAAAACGAGGAAGAAGTTGATAAGACGAAAAATAAAGAAATCAAATTAATACTAGTATCAGTGGTAAAGAAAAGTTGACGTGTGAATTGGGATTCGAAAAGGACAAATATTATTAAGGAATAAGAAACATGAACTAATATCTAAAATGACGATAAAGAGTGGGTCAAATTATTCCAGCATCACAAACTAATATCTTCGAAATTCCCTAACCTTGATTTACAGATATATCGTCTACTTCAGTTACAAGATTTGTGTCTTGCGACATTACTTAACATAGTAGTTTGATCTTCCTGGACTGATGCTAGGTCCTGCTTTAAACATTTTAGCTGAACATGAATAATACAGACTGGTAGAATGTGGTCAAAATTGGGGGTTAAACAAATACGAAGTTGGTTGCTACTTAGTAACTAGTTTATGTAAGCATCTCAGTCCAGGAGGTAAAGAGTTTCAGCTCCAATATCACAATGGTGAATTACAGACTGTGAAGTTGATTGACGTGTATTTGAATCCTAATCAATGCATCAGTCTGTCAACTGTCGCGAAACTTAGGTTCAGGGTTTTCTTTCAATTACTTGTAACCATCG